GCTCGTTCTTTTCGCTCTCCTCCTCGATCTCTCCCTCTGGGAGACAATCGTGCATACGTAAAGAGTTCGCTCGTCTATCTCCAGCCGTGGTGGATCCTCGACAGTCGATGCTTCGGGACCAATCACGGCGAAAGCGTAACGGAATATAGGTAGCAGTGGCACCCATTGTTAAGCAAAGAAGTAACCGCCGAGAGACGATTGCCAAGAGCTTTCTCCATCGACCGTTTTTTTTTTCCTCTTGATTCTCGGCTGGAAGCTTAACGTATACGTTTCGACGGATTGCGGGATCGATCTTTGGGCGATTCCATTCCGTTGATGTCGGCGAAGAGAACCTGGAATGACCGTACGTCTTCGAATACTCGATCGGGTACATGTTGCTACGTTCTATACGAAAAAGGATAAAGCGAATAAAAATGTCGATCCGATATGTCACATGTTCGACGTGTCTTTCCTAGATGGATCATAGCCCAGCGTGAATGACAAGTGTTCGGAATAAAGTGTTGACAAAGCCGAGTGGATGACGTAGACTATGCTACCGGTTGCTAGTGAAGTGGCGCGCATAGGAATGGTTTCTAAGAATATCTGTCGAGATTCCAGTTGCTAGAGTCAGCCTTGAAGAAGAAACAATCGCGTGGGAATAGGAAATGTTGATCGGAGCCTAGAAAATCTGACCTAAACCCATCGTATAGCTCGCCTACTTTGATCTGTCCCGCGTACATTCGTCCTTTGGTGTACACGCGGTCATAGGAACCTCCTTCGCTACTGGACATCTCGGTATTTGACTATGCTGACTACGTTGTTCATTAGCCTTGTGTAACTAAACGTTCCACTCGCATATAATTATGTTGCTTACGAATCCGGTTGGTTAAGTGTGAAGCAAAGGCATCATTTTCGACTGTACGTTCCGTATAAATAGTTTTTCACGCATGTCGCAGCGCAAACTTTGTTGTCCAAGTTCCTAACCTTCTTTGGCGTTTCGTGCAACTCGTGGCCATCCAGGTGCGCGAAGGGTAGAGGTTCCCTGCATTTTACGAGACAGATGACTTTTTTCGACCTTCGAAGGACGATCAAACGAAAAGGGAAAGCCAAAGTCGCCAAGGTGGAAAGTTCGCGGCGGACCACCTCGGTCCATCGGCACGAGCCGTGGGCAGGTGTACAACCGCGGCGCACGGCTGACGTCCTTTGCACCTGATGAAATTAAAATAAACGCAGTCATCTCATTTTCATCCTCATTAGTATACGACGAACAAGTGGGTTAACGGCTTCCTACGAGCAGGAGAGACTCCCGGGGCCCGGACCTTCTCTCCCCTCTGTCTCCCTCTCGTCTCGTTCACGGGGTGAGGGAATCCCGCATAACATTAAAACCTCTAAGGCTGTCGCGCAGAGTCGGTCGTCTCCTCCTCTCATTTCCACCTTTTCGTCTCCGCGTGGTTTCCACCGCGCCATGGCGAGCGACACGCGTCTCCGTTTCCTTCATCGATCCTTCGGTCCCGTAGCTTTTGTTTAGAGGCCAACAAAAAACATTGCGTGCTCGAAATCCCTCCTCTGGCGGGTTCGACTCGTTACGCCCGGACCTCTCACGGTCGCGTGCCGACTAACCACCTATGAAACAGCCCGTGCCGAACGAGCCTGTATGCTAATGCAAGACTCTCGCATACGAACCGTCCTTTCTTCTCTCTTTCTTTCCGTGATAGAGGTATCTCGAGGATTCGGAATTTTTGGACCGAAAATCAGAGCGGAATCGAGACGAGAATGAGAAAAGTGTGGGAAACCGCAGAGGATTTCCGCAGGGCCCGTAGGACGAGTCTACGGCGTCGAGTTGAATTACGAAAATGACGCATCACCCTGCGGCGGAGCGCGAATTAATTTTCGTTCGAAGACGCATAAATCGCATCGCGAGCGGGCAAATTTATTAAGCGCGCGTAATGACAAACACGCGCATATATTACGCGTGGCTGGACGTCGTCGTGGCGTGGCGCTGCGCGGCACGGCTCGGGTTTCGCTTCGCGCATTGGAAGTTCAGTAAGACGTCAACTCGCATTCTTCTATGAAACCGCGCGTCTCGTTTTGTCACGGTTAATGAAGTTACCAGCTCCGTTCCGTGCAACAGTGTGTAACGGGCTTTCGCATTCACCGGTCAATTCGCATTAGCATTATATACCGTCCGCCGATCTGGTAGCCGCGGCCGCAGTCCCCCATTAATCCTTCACCTTCCGCGCGCCGCCATTAATCACCGGCTTTATCATTTTCCTATCGTTTTAATAGAATGCACCAACGGGGGCGTTCGTCGGCGACCTGTATCAACCGAGCAACCTAAAGTTTTGTCATACCGAAGAATCCGATTGACCCACTTTTGGGGCAGTGTTTATCCATTTCGCTGCTTAACTCTTTTGAAGAAAACTTAAAAAGATATACGCCAGCTGTCGAAATTATTCAAATAATAAGTGCATTGATGATTTTTTTTAACTATTCTGACGGAAGTAACGCCTCTTCTCGAAACATCTACGATCGCGAAGTTTTAGAAAAAGCGCCTATTTTTAACATTCCAAATTAGTGGGCCCCGCGCGATGTAGTCTCGTGAGAAATTCCTGCGCGAGCCGTTATGTACGCGAAAAGCAGAAATCTCGTGGTCGGTGTCGCGCGTAGGACGCACGTGTGCCTTCAGCTGGGTGAAGGTGGCCGTGTGGGTGCGACGCCTAAACGCGCAGTTGGGTCAGCTAGCTGGAATTCTCGCGCGTGTGGGTCAGACGGCGATCGTCGCGCGCAGCTCAGGGCCTGAGGCCCGAAACGTACCTTCCTCGCATCTCTCCTCTTCCCGGCATCATTCAGGCTCCGCTATATTGCTCGATGCTCGTTTCGAAATAACGTGGACTCCCGTATTTTCTAAACTTCTTTCTCTCACAAAGAAAAGAAAACTAAACCGTCGAGTTCGTATCTTTTTTTCCTGCGGAATCGAACATTGTGGAGATACATCGCAAATAATGCTAATGAACGCAATAAATATGAAAGCAAAATGTACTCGAAGTTTCTAGAGTTCTGTATGTATTTCATGGCCATCGTCTACTCACCATTAATGTTACGAAAGTATCAGCTGCGAATTGGACGATAAAAGTAATTTATGTATGCGATTGCACGTGGTATAATGCAGTTCCGTGTACAGCTCCGAGTATCTTCAAATTTACTTCACATTTTCTTAATGGCACTGGTTAATTTTCTGTACTAAACATCTTTTAAATACGCAACGCGCGAATAATTTGCGAATAAATAACAATCAACGACGATGGAAATAGTCGAAAGTGTGAAATATGTTTGCAATTTGTAAAGTTCCTTCGTGTCATAAATGGAATGTGTTGTAATAGCCGAGGACAACAGGAACCTGTGAAACGTCCATTTCCTTGTAAATTGAACGGGATAACCTAGTCTGTTATTCGAAAAAAAAATGTCGCCCATCTGTATCCCACGCATAGATATCTCTGGCGTTCCAAAAACTATTGTAATCGTAACCCCGTTGCGCGCGTGGTTTCAATAAGCCGGAGCGGGATTACACGATGACCTGTTCGTTATTTAAAAAAAAAAAACAGCGAAATGGATCGCATGGCGGTCTACTTACCTCCGTAAGCCTTCCTCCGTTCGTCCAGTGATGCATTTCAACGAAATCGCTGCGTTGTTTCCCGATATCGAAACTAAAGTCCGGTTTATTAAACGGAATCAATTACGAGCGACCAGCTGCGATATCCCGACCGCGACGATCCGCGCGGGGAGGAAATTGAATTTGCCACGATTGGTTCGCGAGGGGGGGGCAAAAAAGAAAAAAGAAAAATCATACCTCGAAGACCCGGAGTTGTCCCTTGTCAATTTTAATGAAATTATTGGAACGCTGGTTACGCGGTTGTTCCTGTTTGCCAGTTGCCATTATCGTTCTGGCGATTGCACGCTAATAGACGAAATTAATCGAAGCGTGCCAGCTTCGACTAACGCCGTCGCGGCGAACAGCGATCTCCCATCCGCGGAGGCAAACTTTATTCGACGTCGCAACGCGGGAAGCCACCCACGCGAAGCGTAGATCAGTATCGACGCGTAATGTACCGCGCGATAACTTTCTCGATAAATAACCGGTGAATCGCTTGGCAATATTCATAAATTTCCGAGGTACGATAAGCTGGGATGGATCCTCGGTTGACGACAAAATTCGATGTTCGTTCAACTTACCTTCCTCGATCTTCGAGGGTAGCGATCAGACTATCATCGTATTGCGAATTATTGCATCGTTGTACTTCCAGTTTCCTTACCTCTCTAGAAATGAACCATTCGCACTCGAGAGGTGACTGTCAGTTACCACTAGATTCAACGCAGCAAATACGGGTTTTTTAACCTAATCGACCTATCGCGAGCAATTTTATGACCGACGTAGCGACTTCTTCCGATTGGAACGAGACGACTCGAATCCCGACGACCTCGAGGCGCTGGCGCTGCCACCAGTGCTCGCGCTCGAAGGTGGACTCGATTTTCACGCGGTGACGGACCGAGGCGTGACGTCGTTCTCCTGCTTGACGGGGCATGAAACGCTTTCAGATAACGCGACTGGAAAGGACATTCCGGTAGGCTTTCGGACCGAGAACACGGCCGCCAGGGACTCACGGTCCGAGGCTATCTCTTTAAAAGTCGGTGCGTCGATGTTTTCAACGATCTAGCGTTGGCTCTCTCGAGCTAGTCGGTTGTTTATCGTCGAAACTCGAGGTGGGAGTCGCGTTGCAAATATATCTCGAAGAAACAACTTTACACGGCCTATAGGTCTCGGATAAATCTGGGTTACATCGGGTACTTATCGTTGGAACTCCAAGTGGGAGTAATGTTGCAAACACCGGCGAGTCTGACGCGAGCTGCCAGGTTGAAACCCTTCCTCTTGACGCGATGCAGAGAATGTCTCAATTTTGCCTTGCGGGCAGAATCGAATAGGATAAGTTTACTACGAGACAGGGGTTCGTCATTGAAACTCAATGTAGGGGTATGATTGCAAGTATATTTCCAAGAAATAGCTTTACACAGACGTTTTACAATATCTTGAACTTGGCGAGACTGTGGAGTAAACGTTGCCAAAGACACGGTCGGTCGCGAGAGTTGAAAAACACAGGGATCCTCTAAACGGGCTGCGAAATCGCCCTCGCGGTGCTCCGTACGCGATGCAGTTGCGCGAGGTTTGCGGTAAAAATTATATAAAATTAACACTCGGGCGAAATTAAACAAATTTCACCAGACGGGCGCGCACGCCTCTCGGCCGCGTGAGCAAATATTACGTAGATAAACATTCCCGCTTCTGAAAGGATCCGCTGTGCTGGCCGCTTCGCTCTTTCATCCTCGACCTCTCGCTCCTTCGTCTTAAGCGCCTCTTCTTCGACGCGTGGGTCCTCGCTTCCGACAGCTGGCCAGGAAACGGGACATGGTTCTCCTTATCCCTTGGACTCCGACGGAATACCCTGCGAACAGAAAATTATCGCCTTCAGGTATTTTTACTTTTGGAGCCACTTGAAACATTTGTATGCTCGTAGCCTATCGCCATTGTCTCGAGGATCGAGGAATATTTGAAAGATGTTAACCCTTTGAGTGCCAAGGAGGATATATCGCTACTCGACGCTGTAAGTGCTACAGCTCGTTGAACAAATCAATTTTGCTTTACAAAAAAAAAAAATATACATGTCGCATTGAGTAACCTCCTCCTTTTCGAAGTCGGTTAAAAAACATGCGATAGTGTTGCAGTGGACAACAGCGTCTCCTACTTAAACATCTAAAGGAAGACAGTTTATCGATGTTTAGGATTTCAAAATTACTGTTCGGCAAGCAATCCTGCTCCGAGTGGCCGTACAGCAGATGTCCAAAAGCTCCTCGGCCAACCCTCTGCACTGGAAAGCGATCTACCCCGGGTAACTCGCCTCGAAGACTGCGGATCTCCAACAGAAGTACTCGGCGACTGGAAGTAAATAACAGCGAATGTCCTCGGCGAGCAGCGCTAGCCATTGCAGCCCGACTTCCCGCATTTGCATGACGATTTAAAAGCTGGCTGGACGTTACGACGACGCCAGAGCACCGCTTGACAGGTTCCAAGCAGATGTTGCGCAACTCCTTAACGACGGACGGAATGATACGTTGTAATGGTATCGATAACGCGAGATCTAAACGCGGTAGAGTGGAGAAAGCTAGTCGGGACACGATACTTTCAGGGAAGGACTACTTCGAGGACAACGACGATCATTTTTCCAGACTAGGAAGTCCTCGCGGTCCAGCATGTCGACCCAGTGTGCGTGAATCGGTGTCGGAGTCGCGCGTAAACGTCGCCTCTTAACGGAGTCTCGGTTGTCGTGAGTCGGCCTCTAAAAATAGCCTTGCGCGATGCTGCGAAAAATCACTGTTTTCACGATAATTACCGTCACTTAGTGGCCCGGCTCCTTTCATCGCAGCCATCCACGCGCGCGGCTCCGCTGTTGACGTACAAGACGCTGGCTTTGTGGTTGAGTAGGGTACACGCGGTTAAAGGGTACACCGAGTTGGAGACGTACAGTATTTGTAGTTTTTCAAGTATTCATCGCGGTGGTGCTGTAGATGGCGTGACCTGACCGATCGGAGCAATTGTTGTCACGAAGATTGCACCAAGTTTGTTCGTCGTTTAAATAGTTAACATCGGTAAATTGTCTTACTTTTGCGCGTACAAAGTTGTCCACAGTAACGCTGTCACGTGCCTCTGTAGAAACTGTCGTTTAACGCTCTTATCATATAAGGCAGTGCACCATATAAGATTGTCTACAACGTGCATCCTAGCATGTGGAGCTCATTGCAGCCATCCTGTTCGAAAGGATTTATACAGTCGTTTCGTCGGTCTTCTGTGGAAGATTGTACCACGTTTGGTTAACGCTAGTCGTCTAATCGCGATCATCGATAAATTGTATTCCAGTTACACGGTTTGTGGATCACCTGACGCGATTCCTATGACGTTCAAACGAGGAGACAAAGTTGTCCACTGTAACACTCGTCACATGCCTTTGTAGAAGCTATCGTTTAACGCACTTAGCATTTAAAGTGTAACCGTACCGTATCGGATTATTTACATATGGCATCGTTACTCGCGGGGCCCGTTTTAGAGGTAACGCTGTTGGCATTTAACTGATAGTTCCAACGAAATAGTAAACTGTCGAGTAATTAGAAACTGTTAAACGAATCGATACTGTCACGTTTAAAATAGTAGATATTCCTTTGCCGATGAATACACCATTGTTCCGTCTACGTCAAAAAATACGCAACGCGTATAAGGCATCTGAAAGGTAAACGACCCTCTCTACCTCAGCTGATGACTGAGCTCAAAAATTTGACTCGTGGGCTCTCTAGGTGTGACAAGGTTTATTATAGAACGAGGCTTCCGAACGCGATCCGATTTATCTTTCAATTATCTCCGGCGCTGGTTCTCTTCGTTGACAATGGAGAGGATTCCGAAGCCTGGAGGCTAAAAACGCCGCGACCCACTTCGATCAGGATTCGTCCCCAACCGCACCTAGAAGCAATTCGAGGGTTAACCCAATCCTCGGAAGCTAAACGATCGGTGGCAGTCTACGTTGATAACACGATTTTGCAGAATCAGGGTCGAAGGTGCGCTCTGAATCTGTACGGGGAATCATCAGGCCCAAGTTTGCGGCCCGATACCGCGAGCCGACGTGTGTGGGCACGCGTGCTCGGATCGCAAAGGTCGAGCAATATAGCAGTATTCGGCCACCGCTTCTGCGGCTGTTGGTCCCTGTCGCTGCGAGGTCTCGCGGCCGGTTGGGCCCAGGACCCAGCACCCCTCACTCCCTTCTCCCTCTCTATCTTACTCCCGCCGTGTATCAGCGTCTGTCTCCGTTTCTTTCTCCGTCCGTCGCAGTGGTTCAAATAAGTCAAACCGCTTTTATTCTCGGTCTCTCGGATATTCTTTATAGCGGCGGTGGCGTCCCTCGGGCCCTCCCGGCTCGATACGTGTGCCGTATGTTATGAAACGCAGGCAGCAGCAGCAGCGCACGGCGCAAACTACAAGAAGAAACGGAGGGCCCTGCGAGCCGGGGCCCTCGTGTTCGGTCCCTTACTTATTGGACAGTTTACACGCCGTGCGTTTTCATGTCCGCCCGTTGCACTCCGGATCGCGCGGGGACCGCGACACGCCTACGGAAACCCCGTGTGCGTTTTCTTGGCAATATATCAACCGCGGACTCGGGACCCGCGCGAGGCCCATTTATACATCGACGGTCCGAGCTCGGGGCTCCTTCAAAATCGAAGGGACTTTTGGATTTCTCCTCATGGGCCTCTTCAAAACCTCTCCAAATTTATTTTCATTATGGCCTCACATTTGGAAATAATTGTTGAGTTCCTTAACGAAAAGTCCCATTAAACGAATATACATATCCGTGGCTCTGAGGCAAACAGTTCTTTTTCCTCCCGACGTTTCGCCGTTATTCCACGACGATGAAATCGCGTCATGGTCGAAAAGGGGGAGAAAAGGTTTTTCGATCGAGCCCCGAAACAGTATCGAGCCCGTGGGCCGACGCAAAGGTCTCGGGTGAGGTAAAAGGGGGCCCTGGCGTAAGTCTTCTGAAATAGCGGCTAATAATATGCGCGCGGAGTTTATGTCGTCGGTAGATTCATACGTCACGGCTTTATTGTGAAGCCTGCGAGGACCGGGGGATCCTCGTGAGACGGTGTTTGCATAAAAATACGCAGGGTGATTGAGCACTTTAGAAAATTTAAGAGCTATAGATTACGCGACAGTCGCGACGGAAACAATGCCTCGTCGCGGCTTCTTTCGATCCATCCGGAATGGTAGGGGTGCGCTGTTGCGAGGAATTTTGGATTTGATCGATTTCGCCATCGAACTTCTCCCATTGGTTTCACTCTTTTTAGACGCACTGTGGTGTCTAAACGCGCGATTACATTCGAAGCAGCCTCTAATATTCTCGTCCCAGCTATCGGGAGTCTCGATCGCGATACTTCCAATTACGTCCAGCCAAGATGTCCTCGATACCCCCGAGGAAAGTGTCGGGGATAGGTCGACGTCGACGTCAACGGGGACAAGCAATCGGAAGGGAAGAAAGGTAGAAAGAAAAAGGGAGATGGCCACCCCCGCGGTGAGATCCGGTCGAGTAGATGATTATCGGGGCATATAGGAAATTGAAAGGGTGTCTAAGGAGGTGTCTAGCGAGCAGTCCGCGGGGGCGGTTTTCTCGGTAGGGTGGCACTCGACTTATGGGGTCTTAAGGGTATTCGGACACCCACACGGTGAGATGCTGCCCACCGATAGCCGGTTGCCCGCCTCGGATAATAGGTTCCACGGGTTTCTGTGGCCCGCAGAAGCAACCACCTTCGGCTTTCCTCTCCTGGCCTTCTTCCTCATCCCCGACCGATCGTCGCCGATTCATGCCCGTCCTTTTCTTCTTTCCGTCTCGCGCGCGCACCGTCAGGTGCACACCTCTACGCGTTCTTCGATCGCTATCTGCCAAATCACTATCAATCACTCGCTGATCCAGACACCGGACGCTCAATGAACCAACCTTCGAACCGATCCCCGCTAAGCCTCCTTTCTTCTCGCGATAAATAAATCGGACTAGCGACTTTAACGACCACCCGTCTCTTTCTCTCCCCCTCTCGCTATCCCTTGCTCCTGCTGCCATTCTCTCCCATCGTCTCGTGGACAAAGCCTGATTCTAAGGGACGTCGCGCGCACACCGAGAATGAGAAAAGGAAAAGGGTTTGCTTGAGCTATCGAATAAATCGAGCTAGCGAGAAAAAAAAAACGATAACGACTTCCTCGCGTTAGTTTAACTTTCTTTTTAGAGCGACCTACACCTCCAGCGATGTTCGAGGACAGGAAGAGCCGGACTCTCGTTAAGGTTCTCCGTAAAATTTGGTAACCTGCTCCCGCGCGGCCAGCCGATCATCGATCATACCGTTGACGGGCCTCGGAGCAACGCGCGACCGAATCATCTGGCACGGGAGCCTTCGGGCCAGAGGCAGACAAGCTCGTCAAATCGCAATTAGACGGACGATTTAAAACAGATTTTTCATCGGGGCCCGGGCTATCGTTGAGTCGCTCGCGGATTTTTTCATCGTTTGCTGCAACGATCCTCCGCGGACCTCGATACATGCGTAATGGCCCGAAGCGGAAACGTTGCCTAAAATGCCGAGGCAAGTGAAAGAATCGAGCTAGAGGAGTTGGTCAGTTGAGGAGGTCTCTTCCACATTTTACGATCTCGGTCAGGTAGAATCTCGAATGCTTGGAGTGCTACAGCATTCGGTGAAAGTGGCGAAAGAACTCAGATAATTACCCTCAGGGGCTGTAGATATGTTTGATAGTAGCTACAGTATGGACTTAGCGATCCCGAGGTACCCGAGCTATCGGCACGCGATTTATAAACGATCTAAATTTAAGCGCGCGCCACGAACAGAAGCACGACTTCGCCTATAC